TGCGAAGCTGCTCGAAACCTTAAGTCACTAAACGGGGTGTAAATTCTTAAAACGACAAGTCGGGTCATTACATCATTTGAACGAATCTGTTGCACATTGATATCGCCATTATTTTGAAGATCATGTATGAAAAATAACTTTGGTGAAATGTTCTTTGTCCTATCTCCTTCTATGAATCCTCCATTCAATTGGGCTATGTATGTTGTATTGTCTTCATACAAAATTGTGGGTAGTTTATCATACTTCAAACCATATTTGTCTCTAATAAGATGTATTATAGACCTCAACCATACACATTCTCGACTTACTTCATGAATAAAAATTATCTCAGCATGATTAGATGAAGTAGACATGATTGATTTCTTAGTCAATCGCCAAGATATGGCAGTGCCTCCCCATGTAAACATATAGCCATAAAATAAGCTCATATCGGTAGTCTCTTTTAGATACCGCAATATGTGTTTGACTCCATTCCAATGTCTCCTTGTAGGGGCAGAGCTATATCTTGCTAAGACATTAACTACAAAAGTTATGTCATGCCTTGTAGTGTTAGAAAGATACATTAGTGCACCAATTGCACTAAGATATGGTACTTTAGGACCAAGAAGCTCTTCATTATTTTCACGAGGTCAGAATGAATCTTTATTTATATCGAGTGATCTCACAACCACCGGGGTACTCAATGGATGTGCTTTATCCATATAGAATCGCTTTAAAATCTTTTCAGTGTATGCTGATTGATGGATAAAAATTCCATCTTTCATATACTCAATTTTTATACCAAGACAAATTTTTGTCTTTCCAAGATCTTTCATTTCAAATTCTTTCTTAAACAATCTACTGCTTTAGGAAGCTCCCCAAGAGTTCCAATGATATTTAAATCATCAACATACACGACGGTTATAACAAATTCAGATCCACATTTTTTATAAAGACACAAGGACAAATTAAATCATCCGTATATCTTTCTTTCAACAGGTACTCGCTCAGGTGATTATACCACATGCGCCCTGATTGTTTCAATCCGTATAAGGGTTTTTGAAGCTTTATTTAATAAATTTCTTGGAAATCTTAATATGCTTCAGAACAATTTAAATCCTTCAATGATTTCCATTATATGCATATCAAGTTTTTCATGTATTGCCAGATTAAAATCTGAAATGACTACATCCACCACAGGAGAACATGTCTCTATAATCAATGCCAGGATATTTACAAATCTTCTTGTGACACAAGTCGTCTTTACACATTTATACCTCCACTGGCTTTATAATTTCAGGTGTTGGGACTATCCGTCCAACTTCACATTCTTTTAGGTGAAATCAATTTTTATTGCTTATTTTTTATTTGGCCAATCATTTATCTGTCCAAATTTCATGACAGATTTGAGCTCAAGATCCTCGTTAATATTAATAATATTGAGCGTTATATTATATTAACAACATCGTCGACGATCATTTTATATCGGTTCTACTATTACCCAATAAAGACATAACTTATTGAGATCTCTTTATCTTATTATTTTCAGGTACCTGAGCCTCTCCCATGAGGTCTTATGAAGTGTTATGTCGTGGTGCTCTTCTAGAGCACTTGCCTCCTTATTATGACCATCTTGAATATTTGCTCCTCTCCTTCTTCAAGGAGTTTTATATTTGGAACCGATTAGTCTATTATGTTTCATGCATTCCATAGACTCTATTCATTATGAACTTTATTTTATTTGGAGTATTAGCAGTTAGCCTTGGGTCAGCAAATATGCTTGGCAATATTTTGCAAATGAATTATCACTTGAACTTCAAGTTCACATTTTCTTGTACGAGGATCTAGATGTACTCATAATAATTCATTACATGCATTACTTTTTCAACTGCTCATTTTCTCCCCTTATTGTTGGGATCGCCAACATATATCCCTAGCGTTATTTGGGAATCCATCTTTGTGCATTGTGGTGGAATAATTAAATCATATAACACATTCATATTTCTATATGAAAATTATTTGGTTCCTGACCCTGAACCAATTGTGATAAGGAGAACTTATCATAACTTGGCTAGATGCGTACAAGTGTTATTGTATATTAAATAATACATCACATACCAAATTTTATTTTGGCAGTTTTGTTCTTATAACCAATAGTTTAGATATAATTGGAGGCATACAATTTCTGCTAAACCAACTTGGATTTAAACTAATATTATCAAGATAAATCATCATAATTTATATTCTGAAATTGTGCTTTAATAATTTGAGCAATCAATCTTGCAAAAGCCAAACTGCAAGCTGATAACAAATGCATATGTGACCATAGAATAGATGCATCTATTAAAATCATATAATAGTAAACGGTTCACATGGAAGGTGACTGGCCCATATATTTATCACCTTTTATTCGTTCCATAATTCAAGGGATTCAATCTCAACCTTAACTGGTATATCATGAGAATAAGCAGCAGAAGAGAATTCTTGAAGAATCTTATATTTCTTCAATATATGCCAATGTAATTCTCAATTATTTTTTCGGATCATAATTGAACCGAGTTGGTCAACTGGTCATGCCAACTAATATTTATTTCAGTAAACCTCTAGTTTACTTGTGGCTTGTAATTGCATCATCATGCTTATACTTGTGTAGTACAAATAGAAAGAAAATCGGGTAACCTTTCATATTTACCCGTTATGATTATAAAAATATGAAGATATTCAATATTTCTTTCATTTATAATCTCAATATGTCAACCACTTTAACTTATATATTTGAAACTCAAAAAGTTTCTTTTGAGACTTATTACAATATCAATGTCATGAACAATTTCACCCATCCGGGTAGTAACAAATTAGCTATTTCGGAGCTTTTAATTGATTTTGTACTACAAGATCTTTTGTCACACTATCCATATGATGAATGTCTCATTTACGGAGAAAACCATATCATAATAATTGTTATGGTCAAAATCATCATAAGCAAAATCATTTCTTGCATTAATTTTGCCTTTAATAAACTTTTATAAGGCACAACAATATATTTTTAGTGTATCACATGTACGCGACCAATGACATACTCATGTAACCACACAATAATATTTATTCTCTTTATTTCACTCAAACCTCCCTTAGAGGTGAGTTGTGTGACATTCATCCAATCATGCAATTGCATATCTTTATTCATTACTTTTATCACATATTGCCACATTCACCTTCAGGAATGAGTTTGCATTCTCAATATTTATCACAAGTCACATTTTCTTCAAAGAATGAAGTATAATCATAGCGACGTACTTTATTATTTTTTTCATACCAATTAAATGGTAAACATTGTTTTCACCTTTTGAAGGATATATTTTGAGAACCATTATTGTTCTCTCATTTTATAATTATCATAATGATGACTATTATTATTTTTTCATTTGTTACACCAATGTTCATTCGTCAAGCACTTGTCTTCATTTAGGCTTATTATGCACTGCTATCACATTCACTTCAAAAATGAAACAAATCAAGTGGGACAACCTTCATACTTTTTCATGACAAATACATTATTTTTCTTTAGTCATCATTATATCATCAATATGGTACAGTAAAACTCAAACCCAATGTCTTACCAATATAAAGGCATGTTAGGCCATAATGAATTGAAACTCAAACCCAACTCTTATCATCATGGAGCATCATGACTTGCTCTCGATGTCTTACCCGCGACTTGAACTCATCGTCTTATCCTTAACCTTTGGCACAATAGGCCATAGTGCAACTGAGACTCATCCTCGGTCCTCTAAATCTGTTACCCACAGGGCCACTTATAATGGTCATGCATAAAACCATTATATTATAACAATTTTATAAACATTAGCACTTCATCAATTATGACTATAAAACTCATTGCATGTAGTTTTGACCTCTTTAAGATAGAAACGAGATAAACTATTTCTTATAGACTGAAAAAATTTAGACCACAGTATATTTTGTTAAAAATGACAAAAATATTTAAGTTATACAATTCCTGAGTACTTCAAAAGTGTGAGAACAATTTCATCGGTACTAATAACTCAAACTTTGTTACTATTATCAATGTCACTAACAAAAAATAATTAAGCACAAAAATATATCCTTAGAATAGTCACTTTTTCTATTATCTAGTAAGCTCAAAGTTATCATGCCAGGCCACTTACTAGTAAAAGTGCACACAATTATAGTGGTCATTGAGTGGTGGGACAAATATTTATTAAAATTATAATTACCGATTTCCTTTCCTTTTTAATCAAAATATTGGATGCAATAGAGGAACTATTACTAGCGTAACATAAGCCATAACCCCAAGAATACATGTAACTGACACAAGATCATACTCAGAAAGATTCAATTACCTATTAGTTTTTCTAAACTTTAATAATTTAGACAAGGTCAAGAATGAAAGTTATTAGGAAATTAAATTGTCAACTCAAAAGACTTAAAAAAACAACAACAAAAGTAATGGAGGAGTAAACTTGGAGCACAGCATACTCTCTTTCAAGTCCAACCTCACACTTACCTGCTTTTGTACTTACTAGTTATAGTAGTTATTCTTTTCTTATTTTATTAATCAGAACATGAACATGGGCGGAAGAAGAACCAAACTCAAATATTAATGGTTTATAACGTGTTATAAAATAAAAGTAATTTAGTAAAATATGAACAAGAAATGTTGTTATGAAATAAAAGCAATTTAGTAAAATATGAATAAGAAATAAAGAAAATTTTCTTTTTCAATTGTGTATATATTTTTATCTATTACAAAGTATTTATATAGGCACGAAAAGTTTAAAAAAAATATGTCGTTAAATAATATGTGATTAAATATTGAGAACATTATGAAGGAAAAGCACCGTAATTTGATTTTTCAACAAATGACTGTTTTTCTTTCCTTCGAAGCATCTCCAAGCAGGTACTTTCTCTTCACTATTTCTTCAACTGTGTTTCATGCTCTGTTCCACTGTTTTTCCTTTCTGATTTATTAGAAGGTCTAATCTTAATTGTTCATAGATTAATCATGAATATAATAAAACTATTTGTATTCACTTTTCTTTGATCCGTACAAAACTGTCGGTTATTTATGTATAACTAGATAAAGGCTGTTTGGGAATTTTCGCTTTAACATATAGGAACAGAAAAATTGAATATTTCTTTGTGTTTTTTTGGATTAGCGATCATGTATAATTTTGAGGTGTAAAGAGATGATATGATTTTGTGACGATTATATGAAGTTAGTTGATTATAGGTGTATTCTTTAAGACTTGATCTGACATGTTTATTAGAAACTTTCAAGGGGTAAAGAAATGGAGCAGATCAAAGTTTGTTATGCGTTGACTGGGTAATTAAGCAGTATGGAGTTCATATGGCTTGTCGTTTACCTTGACTACAGTGGCGGAGCCACCTTAGGCTAAGGGGTATCAGTTTTCGGAAAATTACACTGCGTAGCTAGGTTAAAATTTTATTTTTATGTATATATACTATATGTTGAATCCCCTTTAACTTATTCGTGTGTTTACTTCTGTAAATTCCTGGCTTTGCCACTGCTCTGTTGTTATCTTATTTGAATACTTTAGCTGGCTAAATTCGATATCTGGGTATAATATTTTCCTCTCTGAATTTTTTCTGTCAGTTTTGATATCATGGTCCTCATAGAGGCTTGACCAAAGGAATGTTTCACTATCACAAAGTGATTTCTGAATGCTTTTTAGATGTGCTTCAATTTGTAGAAGGATTAGTAATACAGAGAATTCTTTCCCCTCATCTGGTAGTATGGTGAATTGAATTTTTGTCTAACTAAACTTACCTTGGTAGTACGATTAAACAAATGAAGCATTAGTGCTTTACACATGAGATTCTTTTCTAGCGATTGTGTTTTGGGAAGTAAACATCCAATTTCTTGTACAGTTTGCTGGAAAGCTGTATGTAGAGTGAAACATAAATCATTTGAATATCTCTGCTTAGAAAGAGTAGTTTCAGCAGTTGTAAAAAGCCAAAAAGTTTCAATTGATAAGTGAAGCTTCTTCTGGTTCTCAATTCAGATTTTTGTTTTATAACCTATTAATCTATAGTATAATTTATTTCTTCTCAATGCTCGGGTTTGACATCTATCCGTTTCATTGCTTTCGTAATTATATTCTTCTGTTGCTTATTCAGGATTGCAAAGAAGGGATGATAAGGTTAAAGCTGCTATTTTTGGGCCATATGAGGGTGAACTGCCAACTGTTCATTCTCTAGAGATTAAAAGATAGCCGCAATATTCTCTCTATTCCTGATGTCTTCTGCAGAATTAGGGTCCGGCCACAATTCTAGAAATGCAAAAAGAGTGTCACATGATGTTTCAAGCTGCATGGATTCTGAACTTCATGAGTGTGGGAAATATAATTCACATGAATTCACAAGCGTGGTAGAGTCGGAGCTTAAAGTGTTGAGCTCAGAGAGTGTTAATATTCTGAAATTATACGGAGAAAACCAATTGATCGAGGAGTTCTATTCTCAAACATATTGTGATGATGATGCAAAGCTAGACCAACAGCTCAAAGGCTATTATCCTTCTTCATATAGTTACAAAGATAGACCATTAGAGATGCTCCCAAATGTAGGAGGTGATGGTTCACAGAAAACACCAGTAAAGATGGATACTGGAGGATTTCTGGACTTTGATTATTACAGCCACCTTGATCCTGGAGACACCAAGAAGGATTTTTCTAAACTGGACTTTGAATGGATTGGAGTTGAGAAGGCTGAACCGTGGTGGCGCACAGCTGATAAGGAGTTAGCTGCCTCAGGTTCTCTCAAGTCATCTGGCTGTATTGGAAATTCTAATCTTTCATGGCCTCAGTTTTTGGAAGGTAAGTCATATACTAGTTCTCAATGTTCCGGCCAGGTTAGTGTCGGAGAGAAGGAATTTCTGGATACTCGTGACTGTTATTCGGGACAACATCCTTCACAAAGCCAATACAAGAGATTGTGTGTTGGCAAAGGGTGCTCGACACATGGTTCAAGACAGCCAGTAAGGTATTTATCCAACTATCGCTAGCTACTACCTTTTCTGGTTGAAGAGCTAGCTACTATCTTTCTTCACCACAGTGTTCTTTTTAACATATGTATACTTTGTCCCATTTTGTATGACTTGGGAAGACTTCCACAGAGGTTGAAGAAAAAATGTAAGTTAGGAGTTTTTATGTGTGAGTTGTAATGGTTGTGAGAGTGTTAAGGTGACATCAAATTCAAAATAATATGGAACAGTATGATTAGATATTAATTAGAATTGGTGATCTTTATTATTTAAGTAAAGAGATCATACTTTTAGGATGGATCAAAGTAAAAATGGATCAAATGGACTAGGATGGAGGAGGTCTACGGTAGAGAAAACTAATTTAGTGCATCAAATTTGTAACAAGATGTGGCACGCGAAAAAAGGAGTGGAAGAAAGCAAGTTTATTCTGTTGTATGGAGGAGAAATATTTTCCTCCTTTTGTGTTTTAACTGAGAATAAACCTGAAATATGGATATTCAAAGTTAAAGGATGTCCGTGGAGTAAATTAGACTCAAAATATGGATAGCATACTAAATTAGATTTCAGAACTCAACTTGTTGAAATTTCATCTACATGAGTGCAGATGAAGTCGAATCCCCAACTCTTTTCCTCTTTGGAATCTTATCTCAGTTATGTTAACTTAGGTTTATCTTTGCATATTTTTCTCGAAGATATCAACGACTTTATTCATCGCCTTTTACTTGTAAATTATTGTGCTTGTTAGTGTCATTCTGCTCTTACCAAATTTTATCTTATCGAAGACCTAATAAGAAGTTACTGATTCTCTTTTCTTTCCTCTTGTTTGTACAAATGGAACAAGGAAAAGGAAAAAAATAAGAGTTTGGTATCCTTTCCATTCTTTTCTGCACTTTCCACCCACTTTGATATGCTGGTTTGGGCTTGGCAGGTGTTGTGTAACGATGAATCCTGGAGAGTTTATAACAAATCTCTCTTACTTATATTTTCTTTCAAGAACCTAGTAATCTAGTATTGCAGAATCTCTTCGTTTCGAGTTAATGAATAAAGGATGTCCTTCGGTTTTTGAAGTTCTTCGTAGTTCTGAGTTTTCTGCAATATCGTGGAACTCCATAAACAATTGCCCAGCATTCTATCATATCTATGAAGTCTTTCCTTGACATATTATTTCACAAAACTCAAGTGTTCTAGTTAAAGTTATAACACCAATCCTACATTTTGAATGTTTGAAACATCATGTTCATATGTATGCCTGGACCGACAATGATGTTTGTAAATGCTAAGAAAATTGTTGTTCACCTCGCTTCCTTCTCATTCTCATTTTCCAATTATTAACAACACTAACGTGTATCATTTTAATCCCAGTGGTGATGACAATTTAAGTACTGCCAAAGTACCCTTGGACGAAACTCAACCAGGATCAAGCGATCTCAGCAAAGCTCAGCTGTTAGAAGCACTATGCCATTCTCAAACCCGTGCAAGAGAGGCTGAACAATTGGCACAGCAAGCCTACAAAGAGAAGGAACACGTGATCAAGCTATTCTTCAGACAGGCTTCTCACCTCTTTGCTTACAGGCAGTGGCTTCACATTTTGCAGCTTGAAGCTCTGTGTCTCCAGCTCCGGAACAAAGACGGGCGAAATTCCACCAACTTTTCGCCTTTCTTACCGTTGGTCCCAATCAAAGGCAGGAAACTGAAAAAATGTAGATGTAAGCCTATTAAGAGGAAGCCAGCAAAGGATAAATGCAAGATAAACAAGTCTGCTGTAGCTTTTGCCTTGGGTTTGAGTCTTGCTGGTGCAGGTTTGCTACTTGGTTGGACCATGGGATGGCTATTTCCTGTTCTCTAAACCATCTCTTGTTTAAACATTCATCACAACATTCACTCTGTTCCACGGAAATTCGCTAAATTCATGTATGTATATTCCATGTCTTTTCATATCAGATTACGTCGGAGATATATTCTTCTAGTAGGTAGCATTGTACATTATGTAAATATAAAAAACTACACCTCAATCCCCCAATGGAATTTTGTAAATATAGTTGGGCTAATTTCTTGTATATATGTTCTGCGTGTTTTATTATTCTATAGTGGATAGGATTCTGCAGTTTCTGTAAATATATTTGGGCTAGCTTTGAAGGGGAGCTTAGTACAATTGTAAAAGTTGTTGCGATGTCATCAGGAGATTAGAGGTTCCGCCGTTGCTGTAACTATATTTGGGCTAGAGCTTTGGTGCAATTGTAAAAGTTGATGTCATGTGATAAGGAGGTTATGAGTTCAAGCTGCAGAAACAGCCTGTCGCAGAAATGCAAGGTGAGGCTGCGTACATAAGATGATAAGACCCAATATGATCCGGCTCGTTTACAGACCCGTGCATAGCGGAAGCTTATTGCACTGAGTTGCCCTTTATATTTGGGAGCTTATTGCATTGGGCTGTCCTTTATATTCGGACTAGCTTTATATAGTGATTAAAAAGTTTTGAGACGCCATCTTATGTATGTTCATTTCCAAGTCCCATAAGCTGTTTTATTCAATGTATTATGTGTTAAAATTGGTAACTTCATTCCTTTTGTCACTAAGCATTTTTTTGGGGGCCTTATTAAGGGGAAAAATGAAAAGAGGAAATTGTGTGGATAAAGGTCCTTATTTTGTCTAGATGCAATCGTGTGTGTGCTGAATCAGCTCTTTAAACATCAAATTTCCTCTCAGCCACGAACTTATCTGTTGTGTTGGAAAAAACATGCCCTTTAAACTTGAATATCCTAGTTGTCCCTTTATCCTTTTTAATTCTTGTAAAATTGTAAACAAGGGGAAAAAAGAAAAAGAAAAAAAACGTTAAATCTGTGTTGCACGTGACTCGTGAGAATAAAAAAGGTGAAAGTTAAAAAAGGGGCATATCTAGGGGGGGGGGGGGGGGGGGGCGTTAAGAATTTGCAACGTTCATTATCAAGCATTTAATTAATTAATTAATTAAAAAGAAAAATATTGTCTAATATTAACGATTACGTTGAAAAGGAAATGGTCACCAAAATTAAAGTACAGCTCAACTACTCCTTCAATAACCATCTAGAATGTCTATATTTATGAAAATGTTTATTTGTATTCTGTGTTTTCGTTTAAGTAAATCAACTTATTATGATTCAAGTGGTAAATAAGATAAAAATATATGCTTATTAATATTAATTAAATGATAAAAACGTATGTATAAACTTATATAGTATATTTATTTGTTTGATATAAACATTAGGCGCGGAAGAATTAGTTTTCGTTTATTTATTTAATTTTGCCTAATATTATTGGGTTACTCTGCCTCAAAATCAAGACCATTTCTTCCAGAATTTCACACTACGCTTCGCCAAAGCGATTTCTTTGACTTTGATTTTTTCTAACGCAAGCTGAGCTACTCAAAGCCGACCGTCCATGCTGCTTTTTGATCCACCGCTCCTTATCTGCCACGTGTTCACTCGGCCCCACTCAATCTCCAAATAATTAGAAACAAAAATTTATAAAAAAAGAAGTAAAAAACCAATAACGAGTAGCCTAAGGATTGTCAATGGAGGTTTATTTAAAGGAAAAAGCCACATTATACAAAAAACAAACTCTTGTTCCCATTTCCTAATTCTTCATTCTGTATTTCTCATTCATAAATATTCCAACAAAACTTTCTTCTCTAATTTTTTTACTTCTTTTTTCCTGAAAAAGGCATTTTAGAGGCTTGATTTGTTGAATAGGCCAAACATGCCTTTCTGTGAAATCAGCAAATACCAGAACGGTGTGGATGCAACTGGCAACAATGGAACCAAGATTTTTTATAGAACTTATGGTCAAGGCCCGGTCAAAGTTCTCTTAATTATTGGTATTCTTCGTTTTCCTCTGCATTTTTTTTTTGATGTTTTTCCTATTTGGACTTTTTATGGTTTGTTTCTGAATTTTTGTGTTTTGAATGATAAAAGGATTGGCTGGGACGCATACTTCATGGGCCCCACAGATCAAGGCGCTCACCGGAACGATTACTCCGAATGATGATGAATCGCCAGCGGCCGGTGATCGGAGCTCCGGTATAGAGGTCTGTGCTTTTGACAATCGTGGAATGGGCTTAAGCTCCGTCCCCACTAAAAAATCAGAGTACACGTAAGTCCCCATATAACCACAATTTTTAATTACCTTTATTCAGCTATTTTTAGCAATAAAATAGGAAAAATGGTAACTTTTAGATTATTATCGAATATTTGCAGCTAATAGGAGCAGTTCAAGAATGAATTTAGTCCTTTTGTGGGGCTACAATTAGACATATGAGGAGACATTTTAACTATTTTTCTGTTTTTAGGTAAAAACTAAAGTTAAGTAGCTGATACGTTAAATTAATGTTGGGTGCAGCACAAGGATTATGGCAAAAGATGCAATTGCTATAATGGATCACTTGGGGTGGGAAAAAGCACACGTCTTTGGCCATTCAATGGGTAAGTTTCTGACTCTGTCCTCTTTGGTTGGCATTTTTGACTTTGTCCATCTCTATTATTGACTTTGTACAACTTTAATTAAATTTGATTTTGAAATAGAGATTTCGATCTTAAGTGTGCAGTATATAGAAAAAAGATGCAATTTCTATACTGGTAGCATAATATGAGTATTTCCAGTTCATCTTTCAAGTAGTTTAAGCCATTTCAAATTATAGGAAGTGATCTTTGCAGTTTCAGCTTGACAACATGGCTGCTTAACAACTTGAATAAAATGTGGAACATCATATTTGAGAATCAAGTTCATCCTGTAGCTGGGAAAATGCTTATGTGATCAATGTGCTAACTTTTATGCTTGCTTGTACTTTTTTTCAATCATTCAGGAGCGATGATAGCTTGCAGATTGGCTGCATTGGTGCCTAGGAGAGTTTTATCTTTGGCTTTACTGAATGTCACAGGAGGAGGCTATGAATGTATTCCCAGGGTAAGATTTTCTCTTCAACTATCGGTCATTAAGCATATTGTTCAAGAGTTAAATGGTATGGATATACCTGAATGTATTTTTGCTCTTCCTTAGCATTGCCAGCCCCTTCCATGTAAGACATTATAAAAATCAGCTTACTGAAAATAAAAGAATAGATGCATTCTGGTAATTATGAAGACTTGAGGGCATTCTTGCATTTTCAGTTTTTTCCACTATACCTGGCATCGATGGTCATGTTATGAAAGTAACAACAACAACAAAAACCAGTGTAATCCCACAAGTGGGGTCTTGGGAGGGTAGTGTGTATGCAACCTTACCCCTGCCTTGAGAAAGTAGAAATGTTATTTCCGATAGACCCTCGGCTCAAGGAAAGATGAAAAAGAAGCAATAGCACATGCTATGAAACTAGCTAGGTGGAATTTGCACACTGCAAACTAGTCAGGGACACATCGCTTCGTCAAAACAAAACCCTTTTTTTTCCTTGGCTGCCACAGGTGACATCATTGATTCCCCTCTATCTGAGTGAAGAACACCCTATGTTGTTCTGATCAGAGATTACAGAGTGTATATCTGACCAGTCTTCTTTTCCTCCTAGCTTATCCATTTCCTCTCTTAATTCATTTTATGATCACTTTTATTTTAATAACAGTGTAGTGACGATAAAATAGAGAAGTGCTAACCTTGCCTATGGTGGTCGTCAAGATAATTCCAGGAATAGTATGCGGTAGGCCCATTTGAAGCGAAAAACGAGAATTGAAGCACACTTTGAAATGAAATGCACAATTTACGAAAAATTTAAAAATTTTAACATATGGTATGAATTTATTACTATAAGAATTGAATTGCTACTAAAATAACATTTCAGCATCCAAATATACAATAATGTCAATATTAATCCAGCTCTCTAAAGTTGAGATCCAAAAGCCTGCTACTTCTCATTGGGATCACTTGGCGCGTCAATGTTTGGCGTGCAAACTTCTTGGAAACGCATGACTTGACCCAGGAAGCGATAACCTCTCGCTTCGCACAGCTTAGTCGGTTTAGGCGGCCAAGTGCTGGCTTTTAATAACACTGGTATGTGGGTCTTGAACAAACCACAGAAAGAATTTTCTCTCTGGGGGAATACATGTGGATGCCTTTGTCTACCACATGTACGTTGCTTGTGTGTACTCTAAAAGATAACTTTTTGGTTGGACTTCTGGTGCAGTGATGCTCTAAGCTTGCTTAAACAAGAACTTGAAGCTCCTAACGCAATTTTATCTTTGTTTGATTCTTTTCTCGGAATAATACTTGTGTATCCCTGAAATAAGAAACATGATCAAATTGAAAATGGAAATTCTATAAAACTTGCACTATCCTGAAGTCCCGTTTGCACTAGGTAAATCAACATGTAGGCTTGAACACTCAGATGCAGCATTCAGAATTTGCAACTTCTGTGCAGAGTGAATAAGTTCTTAACCAACGAATTGTAAGGCACAGACTCAAACTTCTTACTTAACACTTGCTCCTAACATTTACAAAACTAACTGTAAATGCATGATGGCGTCACCAATTGTCTCATGATTTACTGCTGGATGATGCTTATGTCACAATACACAGTTATTTTGGTGCTTATAAGGTCTCTCCTGTACATACTTATCCAAAAACTATACATAATGATAAGAAATAAGGTGTGATACATAAATCTTAAAGAATGTATCCATCAGTATGTGGCATAGAGGGCACCCAAGGGTGTGGCCTAGTGGTTAATGAACCCGGAGTAGAACCATGAGGTTTTAGGTTCAAATCCCAGGGAGGCAAAAAATACTAGGTAATTTCTTCATCTGCCCAAGGCTTGGTGGGCAGAGTTACCTGGTATCTATGCTGGTGGGAGGAGTAGGTACCCAGTGGAATAGTCGAAGTGTGCCGAAGCTGCCCCAGACACCAGTATGATAAAAAAGAGCATGTGGCATAGTGGAACATTGACATTTTGTATGATCTCAATAGGAAAAATCACAGATTTCACTTTTTGTGGAATATTCTTATCTTGTCCAATCGTGTGTGTTCGTGTGTGTGGGTGTGAGAGAGGCAGAGATGCTAGTGTATGATCTCAATAGGAAAAATCACAGATTTCACTTTTTGTGGAATATTCTTATCTTGTCCAATCGTGTGTGTTCGTGTGTGTATGCGCGTGTGTGTGGGTGTGAGAGAGGCAGAGATGCTAGTGTGTTTGAGAAAGGAGGAAATGCTGTGCTGGTTTTTACGGTAACAATCAGTAGCATATATGATACCCCCCTGCAATTGAATTAATTAGCACTACAGTACTGTAGTAGCAATCCCACGTTCGAGGAAAGGCGGATCTTGCATGCTCATATTTTCACATGAGATATATAAATATCAGAAATATGGCATATATTTGTAGATTAGGTAATCCTACTCTACCTCTACTTCATGCTCTCAAAGGGCTCAGGAGATACTCAACCCCTTAATCCAGTGAAATGCTGCATGTCAACCTGCTGCTTTGGTAGTTTGGCAGGGGGTACAGCCATCCAATATAGTTCCTAGTCCCACCAACTTTTCTGGATGGCATCATAGAATAGTCAAGCAGTTGACTATCCAATATAGTTCCTAGTCCCACCAACTTTTCTGGATGGCATCATAGAATAGTCAAGCAGTTGACTATCCAATATAGTTCCTAGTCCCACCAACTTTTCTGGATGGCATCATAGAATAGTCAAGCAGTTGATCTGAAGACTAAAGAAATATTCAACATGTTGGCATAGTTAAAATAAATTACTGTGTTGAATAAGATCCTGTAAAATTAATGAGTCTGCTAATTGCATTAAATGGATGTGAGCTAAATTATGTTGTACCTTAAAACACAATGCTTCCTCTGTCCGCTGCTCATTACATACTTGAGTCAAACAAAGCGTTATTGTGTTTGTTCTCGTGCTCATATGGTCTTTCTTGCTGCAGCTCGATCGTCAAACTCTATCTATTGCAGTCCGCTTTTTGAAGGCAAAAACTCCTGAGCAGAGGGCTGCTGTTGATTTAGACACCCACTACTCAAAGGTTGATTAATTGTTCATTTAATAGTGCTGACAAATAAGAGGCTTCACTTCCTTCCTTCTCAAAAGTTGCATGAACATGCCATGTGTAAACACGGTTTCATGTGCATTATTTTTTATAAAATTGCTGATTGAGTTGGTTGATTATGACTAGATATCAAATTTAATGAGATATCATTTCTCATGGCCAAGGAATGATTTGTAACTAACATATCTGTGTTTTTTACTTTACAGGAATACCTCGAGGAATATGTGGGAACTAAAACCCGAAGAGCAATATTATATCAAGTGAGTGACCTAAACACATAATGTTCTAGATGTTTCTTCGGCATCTTTTATTTTGTAAAGATACTAAGGTGCTTACTAGGATCTTTTTTTTGGGTGTGGCAGGAATACATCAAAGGCATATCAGCATCCGGGATGCAGTCAAATTGTGGATTTGATGGGCAGATAAATGCTTGCTGGACTCATAAGATATCGCGGACTGATCTTGAATCTATCTGCTCTGCTGGGTTCCTCATATCTGTTATTCACGGCAGGTATATTTATCTGTAATTCGAAGGCATTATCCACTACAGATATAATCTCGAACAGCCAGAGATATTATTTAGATGTAAATCAGTATTTTTTTGAAAGGTTATCTAGATATAAATCAGTATTTCATCTGCGTAGGGACGACGTCATTGCTCAATTATGCCATGCGAAGAGTCTTGCAAAGAAATTATATCCGTATGCTAGAATGGTAGAGCTTCCTGGAGGACATCTTGTTAGTCATGAAAGGACAGAAGAGGTATAATTTTATGTATTTATTATTCTAATACAGAACCATAGGCGCTCTGCGTGTCATGTTAAAGTTATGTACTAAGATGTAGGTCAAAAAAGTGTCTGATTCTATCTAAGATATTGTGAATTTGCTCTAAAGAGCCGGCGGGATGGGTTACTCTTACTAGAACTATTGATCTGCAACTTTCTAGTGATTCCGAGGATCATTTGGCTGGTGTAAAAATCAATTACCTGGCGCTTGAAGGAGTCACTAATAGGCCAAAATCAATCTTTTGGTGGAGTCACTAATAGGACATTCCGAAATGCATAATACGTTATGAGATTCTCAAAGTTTTTGTACTCTCTGTGGCTTTAAATGATTTGACTATCTGTGAACACCACATAAATACCAAATTTCTTTAACCCACCCAACTCGCCCGTAATAAAACCCTACTCGGCCTACGTTTTAAACGGGTTGAAAATGGGTCAACCCATACTAGAATCCTTTCAAGCACACTGGACACTACAATCTGACAATTCTTATAAGTGTTCAGGTATCTGAGTATTTTTATTGCATTTGGTTTTTTAGCAAATGAGAGGGTATTTTATACAATGCAGACTGTTTGGATCTAGCAATTCTTTCTCTTTTCACTTTTGTTTTCAGAGCTAGGGCCTTGTAGTGTCATGCAGAACATCAATGAATGTTTCGACAGCATTCAACTTGTCGGTTCTTGAAAAAGATAAAATAAATAGGAGAATCAAACATTCACATGGATATCATGATCAAATGAAAGCATTATGTTGCACTTCTGGATTTAAGAGTCAATTAGCAGTTTGTCTCTATAAATATGTTTGCTGACCTGGTTTCGTTACAGTGCTAAGCATAATACAAAATTTTAGATATGTCCAATCTATTGGCATTTGTGTGGCTGTAGTCATATAAAGCTGATTGTTAATGGAAGAAGTATATGACGATTTTTTAAAAATTTAGGTCAATGACGCACTTCTTGAGTTGATCAAGGCATCCGCAAGTAAGATTAGCCCATATGATTGGACAAATTTGCCCAAGAAAAGCACTGGTAAGTACTGATATCTGTTTCTTTTACCTACTGTTCTAAGAAAAAGGCTGCATTGTGAAACTAGTCTATTTGGGGTAGCGGGAGATAAGAGGAAAATGTGTATCTCCGTAGGATATATAAACTTATATGAATCACTAATTCCCATAATTTGTTTAAGCTTATTGGTTAAGTTGCATCCCTCTAATAGTTGGTTGTCTTTGTCAGGATGGAGTATAACCCCACTTACAAGAAAAAGTTCTCCAGCGGGAAGCAATGTGTCTGTCATGGTTGACATTGTAGCAAGGCTCCAGATCTTCTTGGTGTTCTTTTTTGGCTTGTTTATGTTGGCATTTGAGTTTATGCGAAGAGGTGTAAGTCGTCTAAAACCAGTAAGAGTAAGCGCAGCCCTCACATGAAGCTATGGTGGCGAATTCAGTCCAATGGTAACTTAACCGGTGAAACCGAAAGGATGGGATAATTAATCTTAATCCGTGTTTCAAGATGACGATGAATTAACTGTACAGTGTCTCACATACAAGAATCACGTCACAGGAGGAAGGTTAAAAAAGCGAAACTACACTGTGCTGACAAAAGGATCAGCAAAAGGAATTACAGCCCTTGCTACCTTTAATTTTGTAGTTGGTTAAGGGCATAGAGCATTTTCTGAATTTCGTTGTATTGACAACTGCAAATCATTATTCCTTTTATTAATGATAATTATCCTTTTTCAATGAATCACCCAAGAAAAACTGCAGACTTCAAGCAAAAAGTTAGTGAAGATCCAAGACCCAAGTCTCAAAATCTTCAACGCTTCAATGATTCTCAGCAATCAGCATGCAATATCACATAAATTTTTAAACAGCAACATACTTTCTGACCAGATTGTTTTAACTTTTACTATTACAAAGAGGGTAAAAACGCAAAGGATGTCATTTTCATTTTCTAGTTACAGCTAGTCAGATAGGGTTCTTGTTCCATGTCTCAGCAAACTTGTAGCTTTTTGGCCAATTTGCAAAAATCAGTTTATTTTGAAAAGTATTTTTTTTCAAAAGTACTTTTGGTGAGAAACAGTTTGTAATTGTTTAATTAATTAGAAAAACACTAGTGTTTGACCAAGCTTTTAAAAATTGTTTCTAAGCGTATTTTTCTCAAAAGTGCTTTTGGAGAGAGGCTACCTTTTTTCTGCTTCTCCAAAACTGGTTTTGTTTATCCTCAAAAGCACTTCTTTTTACTGTTAACCACCAAAAACTAGCATGTCTACGTAATTCATCCGACGAAATCAATAAATCTAAACTACCAAACAAGAATCTTTTAAAAAAGGAACAAGGACCAAGGTAAAACAAACAAGAAAACAAGGACATAAGCTAACCTGAAATGGTTCACAGTACTTTCCTCTCTTCTCTTTCAATTTTCATCACGCCAGGGAAACATCCTTCTGCAGGCTTAATCCTTTCCATCGAGTAATAAATCCCACCTTTAATTATTAATCCAGCTGCTAAGTAGAAAAAGAATGAATACTGTTAAGCTTATCACCAAATTTGTGAGTTATAAAAAAAAATACTGTACATCTTTTAGTCAAGGCTTCAAAGGTTGATAGAGAATTTTGCATGGTCCCTTTAATTTAAAACTGAGAGAACCCCATAACATGTATTATAGGAACCTATCCAAATATTGATTCCTAAAACGATTACCTCAACACCAAAATGAAACGTTAACATGAACTCATTACTCATATACTATGAAACAACAATATGGTTTCTCCCATAAGTGGAGTTTTTTAGCCAAATAACATCAAGTGCAGTATTTAATGGTAAAACAAAAGGCAATCACTTTGACTTATCTTTATTTCTCTCTATTCTCTAAGTATGGTTCTCACTTCTCAATCCCCTCAAAAGCTCCACTTCTATTTCCCTTTCCATTAACAACATGCAGTAAATAACAATCTCACAAGTAGAAGAATCAGGCTAGAAGGAACAAACAGCCACAACATACAACTAGGAAAGAAATGGAACTTAATTTTTGAAATGGGATAAACTAGAAAAGAATATTGAGAAAGAAGTAATTAACTCAATAAAGTTACTGGATACCCGTATAAAATAGTCGAGTTGCACGTAAATAGAAAAATAACTAACAACACACAGAGGGAGAAAGAAAGAGACTTGCCTATCTTACTTTACCTTGTTCTTTGTAGAAGATGAAAATATTAATTAGCAGAGGAGAGATATGCATCAACACATGGTTTTTTTAGTAGAGAAAGTATAGCAAGGGGTTACAGAAAATGAATGAAAGAGTATAAATAAAGATGCTTAGGTTGGCGTCTGAATTATACCCTTTTGATTCCAATTTTATTTTTGGAAAATCAATAATAACGAGGCAGATAAGCCAACAGTTGGTAATATACCATTGGAATATTCTTGTGCAACTTACACATAGATTTCTGGCCAGACACAATTAATACCATCCAAATCGCTTGTTTAGCTTTTACCAGAGACTCTTAATGGTGGCATAATTCCCCTGATTACTTGTTCCAATGATTCAATTATACATTAACACACGCCACTATTTTTTACATTATCTTTCCTTCTTTTTACTTTTTTATTTATTATTTATTGTTTGCGTCCTATTTTAGACAAGTTACGCAACATTATTTTAATATTAGCTATAAAAAAGTATGATTTCGCAATGGTTCTTGTCTTCAACTCTATCCACTTGTCTACCAAATAAATACTAACAAACAGTGATGGGGCTCGTATTCTTTTGTAACGGAAAGATTCTCTATCAACTAAAGGCATATTGATTAATTTAGTGCTCCTGTTTAATAGTTTCATAACATTAATTTGGTTGTCTTGTTTAATAATTGTGCAATACACATACATATGATTCTTTGTCTTAAATTGAATACAAGTTTATTTGGTCTTAAAAACCGGTATTTTTATGAGTTCTAAAAAAAAAACACATACATAAGTTTATTGTGCAATACACATACATATGATTCTTTAAAAAAAAAAATTAAGGTTACATAGTTATGCATACTGAATATATATAGAGTAAACGTGACTTTTTTGGAAACTAGAATAATAACCATTAAAAATCGACAAAATTAACTAACCTTATTCATAGTAATTCGCTTGGTAAAGGATAACGTAACGAATATCTTTTAAACCATATATAAGAAATTTTGTAATCCATTTCGCGGGTCGGATTTCTGAACTTGTACTTTGTTCCCCTAAAACCTCCCAAAAGTCCAAAACCCTAATTGGTCAACAATCTTCATCTCTGTCCAGGAAGTGATGGATGGTGTGGCGGCTCAATGGGACTTCAACTGGTAGTTTCTCTTCTCTCTTTATCCTATAGTTCCTCTTACCACCAACAAAGAAATCTTAGTTTACATATTATTATGTATATTAAAAGGATATACCTATGCTCTTGCCAGTTTTTCTTGGTTTCGCCACTCATTTGAACATACCCTTATGGTTTTATTTGTTCCTTTATTAGAAAGATTTCTCCTTTTCTGCTGTTTTCTTCTAACTTCCCTTTTTTTGGGGGTGGGGGGTTTACCTGGTTTTCATGTAATGGGGCATGGCTGAACTATCTGGCTTTCTTTTTTCAGAGGATGGGGGGAACAGAGTAGTATATATATTGCATATATGAATAATATGCTGGTCTTATTAAAGGAAACACATCACTATATCAACAAGTAATGTCACACAGATGTCCCCCATAGTGTATAATAGCTTTGTATCAACGCTATTGGAATGAACTCTAAGCTTCGTCTAACAATCTAATGCAGCTGATTTTTTCCTTCATGTCTCGGTTGGCCACTACTGTCAAAATTTGCACTCGTCCAGTTCTAATTTCACATAAGGTCGCCAGCTTTTAGTGGAGAATTGTGTCTTCATTTTCAGTAGAGGTATCTAATGCTTTGTAAAGTGGTTAATGGACCAAATGCGATTCTAAATCTATTTCATTGGACGTGGAGCTTTCGTATAATGTATGTACTTGCTCGGACTTGCTTCTTTCCAAGATACATAATTCCCGTATCCCATTGTTTGACTACTAAGTTAGTCCTCTGAATTTGCTTACCGTCCTTGTTCCGCTCTTCCTTTTTCTTATCCATTCCTTTTGGACCTTTCTACTTCTTTACAAGCCTTTCAAAAGATGGATATGCTAAGAATATATCTTTCCTTAAACTCAAGAATCTGAACAGAATGTAGAGGATGTAGAGACTTTTTTTTGAAATTTTTGAAGCCTTGTAAGATGAACATGGCCTTTTGTAATTGTAAATATGACTGCCGATACTAACTTGGTGCTGATGAATATACATGTTACCTTTCTCAAAAAGAATCTGAACTGAAGAACAGAGTAGCAAACTTTTGACATCTATCTTATTACTAGAAATAATGAGTTTTACTCTATGTTGATGCACTTTTAATTTGTATTCCGATGAAACGGAGTGATGCTGTTTCTTCTTATCTAACTTTATGAGGTGTACTTTCTGCAGCAACTTGGAAGTAGATCTTGGATCTGAAGAAAATGCTCACATTGTATATACTGCGTTGGCTGTTGATAAAGAGGTAAAATGATTCTGAGTTTTTTATGCGTTGTAGCATTTATTCCGATCCCAACTTGTGCTTCAACTCTGTACAATTAAAAATTGCAGTTGCAGCCAGATAAAGTGAAGAGGCATATGTCTGTATCTAATGGGAAGCTTTCAGTGTAAGCACTTGTTTCTACTAATACACTTGCTATTTCTTTCTTAAATTCTGCATCATTAAGTTTTCAGAAACTTTTCTTGATGCTTGCTTTACAGGCATTTTGAGGCTGTTGAAGCAATATTTCTTCGTGCATCGTTTAGTGCATTTNCCCCCAAAAGTAATCTAAATTTTCAGATTGTCTTCATCTGGTCGATCTTTATCATGTACTTTTCTGGAACTGCAAGAGGCCCTAAACGGAGTAGTGTTTAATTTTGGCCTTAACAAAGATGCTCAAGCAACTTCTTGCAGCTCAAAATCTCGTGATAAAATATAGTAGTATGTATACCCTGTGGCTTAAAGTAAATTTCAGATTATATTCGCTTGCGTTTGCAATTAATATTTAGAATGTTAGAGAGTTTATCAGATATTTTAAATCCATTATGGAAGTCGGATAAAGGTTAAAGATTGCAAAAATGACAGAAAGAATGACAAAGGATAGGCTAGTTTGTCACCTTCATCTTTTACAAAATTGTTATTCCAAAAAAACAACTATCAAAACACAACTTCAACATCCACAATTTCTTATTCTTTTTTTTCAGCTGCAACTTGAAATAATTTTCTTCTTCAACTTCAATTCAAATTTTATCCAAAAGGCTATAAAATCCAGGCTATATTACTTTATAATCTTTCAAGACCATGTCCAGGATAACTTGTAATCACTTGCGTTTACAAACTGCCAATACATTGCCAAAATTTAATATACAATTGAGGAAAAGTAAGCAGCGTACTAACAACAAAGCATGTGCTCCACAGTCCGTATACAATTGGAGAAAGGTAAGCACTAGTGTATATAGCAATAAGCCATGTTCCTTGTTTCCTGCTACAAATGGCTATCACACCTCCTTTTCGTCACATTTTTCTTTGAACCTGTACTGTTAATATTCATCTATGTATGTATATAGCGTTTCATCTTTCTTTGATTTGCGTCGGCTGAGCAAAGATTTAAGCAGACGTTTACTTTTGCTGGTGTGCTGCTCGGTGTCTTTGGTGTTTATATCGTCCACATGAAGCCGCATTGAAGCAGATTTTGCAGGGTAATGCTAAAACACAATTTAACAGTTAAAAACCCTGAAAATCAACTATGAACAACACAGCTCGCAGAGCAGGGTGGAGGAGCACAATGTTACCAAAGCACTTCAAAACTAATTAAGATTAGACCTGAATATTAACAGATTAAACAAATGTAAAATATATAGAGGACAAAGTAATTACCCGTCTCCCATTGGAGGGGTTTGGAGTAGTAGATCGACTTTTATTCGGGGTGGTTGGCCTAGAACTTTTGGGGGTAGTCGGTCGACTAGCAAGAGATGCAGTTCGTAAAAGAGGAAACCGATGTGGTGAAACTGTTCGCTTGTCTGCTGGTACATTAGCGCCCAAAGGTACAACAAGAAGAAGAAAAAATTAATTACAAGCACCACTGAGAAAGAGAAGTTGGAAAATTATAAGCATGAAGTATTATAATGCAAGAAAATGACTTGAAGATACCTAATTCCTTTTTTGGTGTTGTCCCGGAGAATGAAAAATTTCCATATTGCTGGAGAAGTCGTGGAGAAGGTGCCGGAGAGTATCCTTTCCTGCAGTATATGAATCTTTGCATGGTCATGAATGGTAAAACATAATAGGAGCTGGATAAGATAAACAGCAAGAAAAATTTACCCAGCTGCAGATGGTGGAGTCTCTCTAATTGTTGCTCGCACAGCTACATGAAAAGAAACCCGCTCAGGTCATTTCATTTTTCACAAAGAATCTTAGTGGAAACTCAACACTGAAGGCAAAAAGCATAATATACTACCATTTCTAAATTGATTCCAATTATCTTCATCATCAAGACTACATCCTTGGTACTTTAACTTGGTGAGATTAGCGCCATGCACCGTCTCCCCAACTGAAAGGTAATTTTCAAATATAGCCGAATGTCCTCAGACTTGAGAGTGACAAATACTGCTTTAAGGAACAGATTTGAAAGATATACTCATGAGATGTAATCATAATTACCTGGTAATATATATCGCTTGTGATACTTGGGAGTATGAATAACCAATGACTGCTGTGACAGGCCCTCATGATCAATGTACTCCTGGCATGTTTTTAATCTCTACAAGAAAATCAGGTAACACGAATAAGAGGAGAGATATCACAAATTACATTCTCACTACCAAGTACAAAGACTCATAGCTAGCTTCCCTATTTGGTTGTGTGTATAATCTTCTTGATGAAAGTGTGTGTTTTTGCATTCACTTCAGCTACAAAACATTAACTAGACACAGAATTCTTCGGACAGAAAAATATAAGAAAATTGCACACCGCCAACTGCCAAGCATTTGATATGTCCAAGCATTGGCTCTTCAGAGGGTGTTAGCATCTTGCAGTCTTTAAAAGATTATCAATGAACAACATTTCTTCAACCAAATGGAACTCGGTAAGTATCTTGACTTCGATTATGGAGTTCATTCAATTAACCTATCTATAAGAAGTATTGTTGTTATAAGATCTTCATATGTTTGTGCAGGGAGGAGGAGAGAAGAGCGAACAAGAACATAACTAAAGGCAAAAAGGTATTTTTCAAAAAACAGTTGAATATATGACATTAGAAAGAGGATTAGTCACTCATATGCTGTTACATAGTGGTCACTTTTTTGTGCAAAGCACCATGGTTTATCCTATCAGAATTCTTTTAACGATGGTATTCATAAAGTTTTGATATCCGAAAAAAATAGGAGGTTATTACCTGCTCAATGCAAGATAGACGCAGCTCTGTTCCAGATACTTCATCAACTTTTTCATCCAAGAGATCACTGACCTTATATGTCACAGAGCCCAAATGATCCACAGTGTTCACAAGGGCTTTAATGGCATAATCTTTCAATGTATTTACCACACTGTATGAAGAGAAATATGTCAGAGGCAACACGAAAAAAGACATGGAAAATAGAATTGAGCTTTCCAGCAAGTCGACAGATAACTCACACTTCTTTTTGCTCGTCATTAGAATAAGACAATTCAAAATATTCAGCTGCTGAGTAAAGTTGTTTTCTCAGATTCTTTAAATCCTGAAGAAACAAAATGCAAGATCCATAGCAAAATTTTTAAACACCAAGTCAACTTCCAAATTCTTAAACATTGGGCAGAAGAAAATTCAATATGCAACTTCCAAATTCGTAAACATTGGAATCAAATGCTAGGGATGAAAACTAAAGGTAGTCATTTCTACCGCTATCTCGACCAAGAGGCATTAGCTTCCATATTTCCAAGATCCTATTAAAAGAAAAATACCAATTTTCAGCAGAGGAAGAGAGGAGGTACCTTAAGACTATCAGAAAAGAGCATACTTTGATGCATAGAAACCTCATCAAAGTTGGCTGGCTCTCTCGGAAAAGTCATTGTAGCTGGTGAATTTAGTGTCTCCATTGAGTTGCTGGTAACCAGTTCTTATCCTGTAACAACCGTGATGCAACATTTAAAAGAAAAGGAAAGGAAAAGGCTCTAAAAAAAAGCTAGTAATTGTTTGCCAATGCATCCTTTAAATTTACCTCTGCAACTATTACTATTAGTTAAGCTAGGATCCTTTCAGAAAAACACATACTACTACAGTCCTAAAAAGCAGCTAATGAATCAATCAAAAACAAGCTTACAGTTCACACCAGACAGATACAATAAGAAAATCAAGAAACAATTATGTCAGGATAATATCTCTGCAACTATCCTAGAATAATTAAATCCTTAAATTTTGAGCCCTGAAGCTTCAAAAAGGCCAGTTTTGTCTGAAACTTAACAATTACGCTCTCAGTTGTTCAGAACAAACTCACACATATCAGCACCCAATGTAATAGACACTTCAAACAAGTAAAAAACATGAAAAGCTGCAAACTTTGAGTTAAAATGAGAACCCCATAAATCTACAAGATATATAAACTTGCAAAGAAATAAAGAAGTGGTCACATGGCCAAATTTGAAAATCTTTCTTTCATTTTCTGAGCAACCAAATCAAGCAAACCCCACAAACAGAACTAAAATAGTAACAAAGAACCTAACCTGGAAATTACTTTTATGCTAGTAGAGCTATGAAACCGACACCAAGTTCCACATTGAACAACATGAGTTTGTTAAAAGAGAAATGGGGAAATAAATAGGCCCATTTATTTAATGAAAGAGACCAAATTTGGTTGGTACCAAGAATTTGATTAAACCAAAGGAAAAGGACAAAAAATTATTGTGTTAGATGATTTGTGGGTTATTTGAGAGGATTGATAATGGCAAAGCAGTAGAAGTGGTGAAGAAGATGGGGACAGCCGTGCATCAAGGGGGGCACGTCTTAGAAATTAGAATTCAAAAGGTGGGAGAGAGGGTTTTGAGAGAATATAATTAGAATGTGTACTGGTTTAGGAAGCACAAAAAAGAAATGTGGCCATTCTTGCAAAACCCAAAATTCCTCTTTCTAATCATTGCTACAACGTTTGCTTGCTTTTGTTTAGTGGATCATGTCGTCTCTTCTCTACTGTACTATTCTTGGCATCAATATTTTTTTTAGGTAAATTAGCATTTGACCCTTTTCTTCTCTACCATGCTTCGAATTACTGTCATTAACCAGGATGTCACGGGTAAGGAACGAAAATAACCCCTTACAAAAATACAAGCAAAGATGGTGTACGATAGATTCTTGTGGTCCGGTCATTTTCTGGATCCCGCGCATACCGAGAGCTTAGTGCACCGGACTACCCGTGCCCTTTTCTTCTCTACTTTGCTCGAATTACCTTTACAACAACAACCCAGTATAATCTCACTAGTGGGGTCTGAGAGGGTAGTATGTACGCAGACTTTATCACTACCCTGGGGTAGAGAGGTTGTTTCCAATAGACCATCGGCTCCCTCCTTCCAAGAACTCCCCACATTGCTCTTGGGTGACTCGAACTCACAACCTCTTGGTTGAAAGTAAAGGGTGCTTACCACTAGAGCAACTCACTCTTGAATTACCTTTATTCATTGCATTTCAATATCGGACTATATTACATAGGAGATTTGAGATCGATTTTTCTCACCAGTAACCAGTGCGCAACCGAATGGCAGCAACTACGGGTTTTTCTAAAAAATTTCCAAGAAATATTGGACTATATTTGATTGGACACAATTTAAAAAAGAAAGAAGAATTTATATAAAAGTTTGTCTTAGACATGTTATAGAATCTATGTGGCTATAAAAGTATGTTATCAAGGAAAAATAAAAAGGTAAAGTTCAATTGTTTGTTAATAAAAAAATTATTTTTTAAACGAATTGATATGAAAAAAGTTCTGCATAAAATGTAACAAAAGGGAGTATTATTTTTTAACTACAGAATATATTGTCTTTGTATTTTTGGAATGAGATTTAGTATTTTTTTTTTTTTGGTGATACATAGGTACTAAGCTTTGAAGAAAATGGCAATCATGTCTTCATATTTCATTTGGTTATTTTTTGTCATAATCTTTGAGGTTTCAATCCATTGGAAAAAAGCTAGTAATGTAATAGATTAGTTGACTAGATTGGAATTTTGGCGTGCAGAAGTGAAGCATCCACATAATCTCTAATGGAGTAATTAGTAGTAGTAATTCTCCGTCTCAAATTATCCGTTTTATTTCTCTTTTACATCTCTCTTAAAAAAATATTAACTAAATTAAGTTTTAAATATTTTATCCTTATTTATGATATAATCTCTATTCATTGAATATATACTCTATTTACGTGTTATCTCCATCTTCAAGAACTATTACAATTAAGGGTAGCAGTTGAGTTTACCACATACTTTAGGCATACACTTGACAAGATTTAGATGTTCTGGGGTCTACCATCCAACCTATTTCCTCTGCTTTTTGATTTTTTGAGAAAAAATATTGCACTTATTGAGATGAGTTATAAGATGGAAAGAAATTGAAAATAATTCCATTTCTTTAAAAACTTAAACCCTTTTAGCGAGCCGAAGCATTTGTTTCCAATTTATTACGTTCCAATAATGTAAGTACAACTTATATATAACTTAGTTATCTCTTATTTATCGAAAAAGCGATTTAATTTTTGAAATTTAACATGAAAGTTTTGATGAAATTGATATTCTAATCGACTAGATATGCTTTTTTAAAATCTTTTTCGTATAATATATTTTTGACCCATAAGCATAACTAGATATGATGTATACAGTCGATAAAAGTAAAACTTTATGTTTTTTTCTAGAATATCTACGACTTGATCCAAAATAATTAGAAAGAACTCTTTAACTAGTTAAAATGCGACTCACATTTAGTACCATTGTCCATAATTTGTTTCGCAACTTAATCATTGAGGAAAGAATCATCGAATTATAGAAACATTGCATCGATCTCTTTGTTCGTTTATGTTGAAAAAGATAAAGAAATGAGCACTCACTATCCGGAAAATACATAGGCAATGGGTGAACTAAAATGCCATACTTCCGATTATGTATATAGTGTTCCACAAATTTGATAATATGTGAACTAAATTAATAAAGTGATTAAGGCAAAGTTTGTTTAAATAATAATGTGAATCGAGTCCTGTGCTAAATAAACTACATAAAGGGGACATGAATGTTACAGTCTTTTTAGTAAACAAATCAATGCCGTGAATGGTGGAGGTCCCACAAGAAAGACTCAAAGACTGTACTGATTGGCTTTTCTTTCTCACGCCACCAAACCCACAAGTCAAAACTCGCAACAAATTTCGTGTTTTTTTTCTAGCGGAGCCCGTTTGGTCGAGTCGCCAAAAACCGCTGATTTTAAAAAGTATTTTTTTTAAAATTATATTTTTTAAAATTATTTTTGAAAAAAAAATAGTTTATATTTGACCAATTTATTTATGAAGTACTTTTTGTAATATTTGATAAATAAATTGTATTTGACCAATCTTTTTAAAAAGTATTTTTGAGTGTCAAATTACCAAAAAGGATAGTATCAAGGTTTTATAATATTTTTAAAGAGAAAAATGAACTTAAATATTTATCGTAAGAGACTTTTATTATTTTTTATTTTATTTAATTAAAATATAGAGTAAACATACATATTAAAGATTTAAGTCAATATAACATGGAGTATATAGTATAACACAGATATAATATTATCTAGTATAATTACTTATTGTCATCATTCAGTATGAATTAGAATTCTATTCCACAAATTACTATATGTTGGTAATTCACCATGAAATAATAAGCAAAGTCACTAGCACATGATAAAATTTCTCAATAATTTCATCTCTAATTCTATCATACAATGCTTCCATATTAGTAGATGACTTGCCTTGCATTTCTAAAGGAATACCAGAAGGCTCGTCTCTTTACTCAATCTTTGCAGTAATGTCGTCATTAGCATAATAGTTGAATTCCGTATCGGTAGAAGAATGTCGTCGGATTAAATTATGTACAACTATGGTAGTTATAACAATATGATTATGAGTGTCAAACTTGAAAAGTTAAGTATGTTTAAATTCAAATTCAGAAAGAGTAACTAATTATTAATAACACATAATGCATAATTGATGGTAGGCTATAATCTCGTGTTTTAGTCGCTTATTGCACTTTAATTTACTGCACTTTTATTGTGTTAGAGCTTTAATCGATAGTATTTTGTACTTATTGTGTGTTTTATGCCTTGTATGAGTGATTCCGAGCTATGAAGATGTTATGGAATGAATTTGAATGATTTGGAGCTTTTAAGTCTAAGTAAAAGCCCAAGGAATTAAGCTGAGATCGTGCTTCAGGGTCGAGGACCAAGTCTGGATGTCAAAACGCAAGAAAATTTCGTACTCTGAGAAAACCTCACTAGTGTGGCGCGTGGGGTGCCGCGGCTGCCCATTTTCCTGCTGTCTGTCAGAAATCAACTCTCTGAATTTTCCCACTAATGTCTCACATGGCGCGTCGCCCCATGCAGTGCGCCTATGCAAATTTTAGAGAGTGAAAATCCTATTTTGACTAGAAAAAGGTAATTTTGTCTGGGCCCCGACCCTACTTGGTATAAATACATGAAAAAAATATTATTTCCTATACTTTCGACATATTTTAGACCTAAGGAAGCCAGGGAGGAGTTGGGGGAGCAAAAGCACAAGGATTTCATCTTCCTTCCTCACTCAAGACCCGAGTTTGGTTTGAATTTATGTTTTCCTATACTTTTATTATATTTGTGATGAATTGCTCCATATCTATGGAGTAGTTCTCTTTAGGGTTTGATGGATTTGGTGTATTGATGACTTTTTATGGATTATAACTCTAGTTTTATGTATTGAAGCGCTTTTGGATGATTTAATTATCGCATATATATTCACTAGTTCATGTAATTGAGAGATGCATAACTTGTGATATCTTTGCATTATATTGTTGGGTTAGTTCATTAATTCTTCTTAGTAATCGAAAGAGGCTAGTTGAATCATTAATTAAATCTAGTTAGGAGAATAATCGAGAGAGGTTCTGTAACGACCCGACCGGTCGTTTTGAGCCCTAGCGCGTCGTTCGCCGGTTTGAGGCCCTGAGCAGCTTCACTTCAGGTATTATGACTTGTACGCGTAGTCGGAATTTAATTTTGGGAAGTTCAGAGTTGATTTTGAAAGAAAATTCTCATTTCGAAAGCTTTAAGTTGGAAGAATTGACTAAGGTTGGATTTTTGAGTAAACGACCTCAGAATCGGGATTGGAAGGTTCCAGCAGGTTTGTATGTTAATAAGTGTACGGGTCATAATTATAAGTGATGTGAGGTATAAGGAGAGCCCTAATTCTAAGTCAAGTTGAAAATTACAACCTATCAAATGAAAGATCTTTGAGTCTAGTTTCTAACGCTTTAAATCGTTCGTCGTTTCAATATTTCTACAAGGAGTTATGGACGTTTTAGTAAAAGGTGTCCAGCAGGGGAAAACTTGTAATACGAGGTACAACCTGCACAGTACAAGGTACAACTCGCTAAAGCACCTGTGCCTATATAAGGCAGTCACGGGCAGCAGCCATTTTTGGGTATTTTCTTGAGCTAGAGATTGGTTCTTTCATGGTGGATTCGACCTTGGGGACTACTTAAGAATACAAGGTGAGTTTTTTTTTGTGTGGATATTTTAAGTTAATAACATCGTATTAACACTAGTATTAACATCCTTCAATCTTTGAAATCACTAGAAATCTTTCAAGTTGTTCAAGAACACCAAAATTTTCAAATATTGGAATTTTAAGAAAAAGCTTCAAGAAGGTAATACTAATGCTTCAAGCTCATTTCTAATGAGTCGGTGAGAGTAATTCTAATATTTGTGTCAAGTTGTTATAGTTGGATAATTGATTTCATAAATCCTAGTTCATGGCATGAATAATGTTCTTGAGAAAATGAGGAAAAGATAAATAGTGTTCTTAGAAATGAAATTAAAGGATACAATGAACCTATGGAATCATTTTCTAGCTTAGTTGGAAGTATTCAACTAAGTAATCACCAAATTGAATGTTTTGAAAATGTTGGTTAAGGAAGACAATGAATAGTAATTTGGCGGTTGTTGGAGAATTAATGTAGTATCATTGATGACTTCAAATGGGTATTAAATTATA